ACCAAAAATTTGAAATTCAACCTCCGATTAAAGGTCGAATTTCACCTTTTCAACCAGTATTCAAAAATATTCATTAAGAATACTATCAGAATTCCAATCTTCCAAATTTAAGTAATAACTATCACTATCATAAACAATACCTGAGTGATTGAATTCCTCTTCCTTCCAGATTTTGACAAAATAAATCTAGGGCTCTTGGACTAATACTTCCTAAAATAATCAAAAAGTTTGTAAACTCTTCACTATACTTCATATTTTGTTTGCTTTTATTTGTAGCTTTTCTTTCAGCAGCATCGCTTATAACTTTGCAAAGTTCTAAAAAGACCAGTGAATTTTTAAAAGCCCCACTTATAGCCTTATCAGCTAATATAATTCAAGGATTTGTTATTTGATTTTCATTATCATTATTAAGTAAATTCCATATCTCATGAAGGTCAAGATTTTGAATATGATTTTTCAAGGAGTTATTGTTCCAATAAAATTTAGGAGTAAATTTAATGTTTTCTGACAATAGTGTTTTTCTTGTAATTCTATTACAAAGGTTTTTATCAGATCTAATATAACAGCATTCGTTACAAATATTGCCTTTTTCTGCAATTTCTGAACACGTTTTAGCATGCACAGTATTACCTATATTTTGAAACATTTAGAAATTAATAACTATATAACTTTTTTAAATCAGTATATTATCTATTTTGTACACATAATTCAGACAAATAGCAATCAAAATTGAGCAAAACTTTTTACAAAAAGTTCTACCCAATTTTGATCGCTATTTTGTTTGAATTATAGATATTAAATAATAGCAAAATAGTCTAATTCGCATAATTTACTATTTCTATCTATTTGCCAAGTAGACTCTGCATATAAAACATGATTTAATTGTTGTTTTTATACATAATCTAGCTTTTTTCTATTGAATTTTTGAAAAAATAACCCTGGAAATATTTCATATGCAACTACTTCTATATGACATGAACCACCAAACTGTGCTAGAGTATGTCTTATGTAATTTAAGATTTGCTCAGATTAAAAATCCTGACAAATTGAACATTTTTTGAACTTTATTTTATCGACTAATGATTCAGTAATGGTTAAGTCTAATGTATTGTCACTCGTTTCTACTTCTGCTTCATCTATTTGTAGCAAATCATTATTATCCATATTGTTATAAATGTCTAAATCCTACTTGTCTTCTTCATTATCTGAACTTGCAACTATTTCAGATTTAAAAAAATTATAAATTGATCTTTTGTCCTCTTTAGCTTTACAACTAGAATTTTTAACATGTCTATTTATGTAGTCCTCCTCCCATTTTTGATGCAGCTTAATTTTTTTTCCACATATATATACAACCTTTTTTGAATTAACAATGTGAGTACAAAATTTATATTTTAGCAATCACTTCTTACTATACTTCCACTGATTCATTATATTTTTAATATTCTTTTGTTTGTAAATGTACAATAATAAAGTTTTTAATATTCTTTTGTTTGTATATCCCAATTCCCAACTATGTGTTTGCAATTCCAAATTATGCTCACAACTATCACCTTTGACCTCTTCAAAATTATAATTAAACCTTTCACTGCTACTAGGAGAATCCTTTTTTTCTTCGCTTGGTATTGTCCTATCACTACTCAATCCTAAAGTTTAGACCAACCTAGAATACAAGATATTTTTAGCTACTTACAGATAAATTTTACGTCCTCTCTCTTTTTGTTTATTTACTATTTTATTTTATTATTATTATTATTATTATTATTTTTTTTTTTTTTTTTTTTTTTTTTTTTTTTTTTTTTTTTTTTTTTTTTT